ACTATAAAGTCAAACATCGATCTATATGTTACAAAATACTCTCAGAAATGTTCTATCTGTTTCTCCCAAACCCTTATTTGAGACGTTTTAATTGAATTGAAGGAGGGTCTAAAATATTTCTACTCAAAATGAGGCATTAATATAATAAATTAAAGTTATTAATATTTTAATTTTGTTGAAGCATAGAATAATTTTTTAAGGAGGCAGAGCCACCCCTCGCAGTGCGCATTTACGATTTTGGTGCCCTAGGTACAAAAAACTTTTAAGCCCCCCCCCCTAATTTCCAATTTACTTTTTCTCTCAGTTAATAGTGCAGGGCTTGAAACTGGTATAAACCGTTTTAAAACCGAAACCGAGATCAAATCAAAACCGAAACCGAAAAAGATTGGAAACCGGTATTAAATTCAATACCGACTCGAAAAAATTGGATACCTGTACATAGTTAAAAACCAAAAATATGATTTAAAAAACGGTATTTTTTTTGGAAATCTTTGTATCTTGACATTTTTGAAAGTTTACTTTACACAGCAGGCGATCGGACGCTCGATCCAGTGATTAAAAAAAATTAATAAATTAAGAATGAACGTAAATAGTCCAGGTCTTGAAACCGATTTTAGAAACCAGTATAAACAGTTTAAAAACTTAAACTGATAACAAAATCAGAAAAAATGGGAATGCGGTATCAAATCCAAAACCGAAACCTAAAAAAATTGGAAACCAGTGTACAAATAACAAATCAAAACCAAAACAGAAATTTTTTCAATGGGTTTCAAGCCATGTAAAAGTGATAATTGATTAACCAAATTGTATATTTTGAATTTTCCCCTTATTGCATTTATGTTTCCACTAATTTAGAGAACACTTTTATTTTACCATTTAGTCAACCTTTATAATTAATTAAACAAATTATAATTTAGATTTTGGCCTTTTTTTAAGACAATTTAATAAAATACATACATTATATTTATATATTATATAGAAATATGTATAGAAATGTAAAATATATTATAAGAAAGATACGGGTATTCACTTATCAGTTATCACTGATATAATTTCTCAACAAATCCAATAAAATAAAAAAATAATTTTGTTATAACCTCTAGCGACGGATTCCCTTTTGCACCCCGGGGCATTTGTCCCCCGTCCCCCCACCCTCCTAAATACGGCACTGACCCCTCGAGTACATACACCGCCACACGAACGGTATCGAGATGGTATTCAAATTTCTGTCAAACTCGCTCAAGCATGTCTGGTGTAATAGTAATCAGTAGCTACTGCTATTGGGCCTCACAGTGGTGTAAACGCAAACTTCGTGATAATACTGTTAAAGTCGATTTGAACTTATCGGTCGCTTATAGAGCCATTTGTCCGACTCGCGAATAAGACCAGGAAAAAATTATGTGCTAACTGGTAGATACTATCGTTAAATTGTGATTAGTACGAACTACGAGTAGAGATATTATGATGATCTTCTAAACATCTTGGTACAGATCACGGACTAAGGTAGATTAATCATAGTCCGTGGTACAGATTCTATTATATGAAAAATTAATCTGTGGTAGAGATTATCAAGGCCATGGCCTATTATAGCGTTTTCCATCTGACTGCACTATACAGTGCACATTACATACGAATACTGATAACATAATCACACTATCACAGATATATAAAATTAATTGTGTATAGCTGTGAATTTTCCACACCGCCAAAATTCACGGTGTCGACCCTCGACCAGTGTACACCACGGACTGGAAACGAGATAGTCATCTATGGAACTACAGTGTAACGCTTCTGGTACAAGTGCGATTTTAACGCCATCTATGATCCATTCTACGAAATATTAATACATCAGTGTCCAGCACGAATTAAGATTTTGGCATTTGAAATTGCTTCATTCCAAGCAATTAAATTAACCACATATTTTGGACTTTTAAATAAAGTGTATTTTTTTCCCTCTGAACATCCCGTACAGCCATCCACATAGAATTTTCTCGGCATTTTAGCGAATAATAAATGGATAATATAGTTGGTAAAATGTAATGTACATTAAATACTAAATGCTAATACCTAAGAGCTAATAGGTGCGTATAAATCACGGACTAAGATAGAGTCACAATAGAGTTATCTTAGTTTATCTTAGTCCGTGGTATAAATGTTTTAAACTATTGTACCTAATTTTATTATAAACAGAAATAATATGCAAATAAATATATTATGTGTAACAAATGCTAAATATTATCAATAGATAGAGCCACATTTGTCCATGTACTACAAGCGTTACACTATGGTTCCGGCTACCCGCACTCCTCCCGTCTATAGTTTCCAGTCCGGTTTATCTTAGTCCGTGGTGTACACCAGCGTGCACTAGTGCAGTTAGATGGAAAACGCTAGATATCTTGGCCCTTGGGCACTCTAATCCACGGTCTTAGAATAATAGGTCTGGCAAGTCGACGCCTGAATGGTGTTTTTATTACGGTAAAAATCCGGATCTAGCGCAGTGCTGCTCTCTAGTAGTGTATTGTACGAACGCTAATATATTGGTTGTATAGATCTATATAGTAGATGGTGCTCTAAGCATTTCAATTTATTTATAATATATATATATTTTTTTAGATGTTATATTAAATAAGGGCATAAAATGCATAGGTATAATTTAAGTAAATATATTCTATATTCTGTATTATAGGTTATACCACCGTCTTAGAATAATATAATACAAAGTTAAACTATATAGGTTATAACTTATAACCATTAAAACTAAACAAAATGTATTAAGCTCAATGATATTGATATAATAAAATTATTTCAAAAATTGTTTTAGTTACTACATTTTTGTTACTTCTTTCATTTAAAATGCCCCAATTATGTTGTATATGTAAAAAGAATACTGAAGGTATTACTAGTTTTGTGGTGACTTGTAAAAGACTAGAAACTTGGGGAAATGTTTTTCAGGGGTTAAGTGTTGGACAGAGAATCTGTGAAAAACATTTTTCTTCGGCAGATATTGTGAGAGAAAAAATTTTAAAAGATTCTACAGGCAATATTTTGACTAAGGTGAGAAGTTATATTATAATAATAGGTACAAGTTATACCTAAGTCAAAATGTATTAATTTGTTTTTTAAATCTTAGGAAAAATATAAACATACTATTATCAAGCAAGGAGCTGTTCCCTGTAAGAATAATCTATTTTCTCCTGTCAAAGAATTTCATAAAGATACAGATGATGACATATTGGCTACTCTACTTGTAACACCTGGAATGGTAATTTAAATTTATTGATTTAAATTAATTATTGGTTAAGATTATCTATTCCTTCAGTGAATTTTGGACAGATTTTAGAATATCAAGTTTTATACTTAGTTACCAAGCTAATGTAGGTACATAAATAATTATTTGAGCTTATTTTTTGATTTGAAAGAAATCTTAAACTGAAAGGCTTTTAAGGAAATGTATTATTTAACTTTATTAAGGACTCTTTTTACCAATATATAGTTTATAGACTGTAGTACCTACCAGTGGCAGTGATCCTATAGTTCATGTGTTTCATCAGCAACCCATACAAATTCGGTGGGTGGGTGTGTACCTGGGTAGGTGATTGGATGTAGGATGATTATTTATTATTTTATGACTAATTGTGTAACCTAATTAAAAAACCAAGTCAATACTAAATACAAGTTTTGTATGTATATATATATACCATGATATATAATATAATAATATTGATGTGCTTAGTGTACCATCTAGCTTTATACAATAAATATATAGACGATCGTTGGCTTTAATATTAACCACTAGAGCGCAGCAGAGCGCTAGATCCGGATTTTTAGTGCGAAATCGACAACAGTTCTTTGTGTAGATAACTCTTGAGTTGCATAGGCCTCTAATCTGTGGACTGTGGTAGTTGTTATCTGTTGGTGGCAGCCGTTTGGTGATAACAGCAGCTGACCATGCGCTTGCTATAATCATGGAGTTATGGAGATAATAAATGGTATAATCACAGATATATTTAAGATAAAATTTAAAATTTTTATATAGGTACCTGTGTAGTGTGTATAATACTATAATATTGTTCTAAGGTTCTATATTAGACATTAGTATTTAGTTCCACGGACTCATACGGTATGAGCACAGAATAACTTATTTAGGGCCTCTGTGGTATGATTTCGTACTTCGTGCCGTTTATGGTGGTATGCTTAGATCGTAATATATTATAATATATAATGGTATATTATGATCTAAATTCTAAGGTGCTATGTAAAAAAAGTAAAAACATTCAACTTCTCTAGTACTCTCTATCTCTGAAGTGTAATTGCTAAAGGTTAATATACTAGTATATTAACGGTGAACACAATCTTTATCTATGACAGCGAATGAGTGAAAAATAGATCTATGTTGTCATCATAGTAGGTGTGATGGTTAAGTTGTCAATGTCCTGTGTCCCGGCCTGGTAACTATTATATAACTATTATAGTATCAACGGTTGTTTTTCTCTGACATTTGTCGGAGGTGCAGTTGCACCGCTGTTCATTATTTAATATTTATTATTATTTAATATTTACGGCAGTCGAGAACTGCAGCCGAAGAAAACTTCGTGAGTGTTTATTTATTATTATTATCATTATTATTATTATTTTTTTTTTTGTATATAAAGCGCACAGCGCCTGAACGCCGTCGCGACACTGCGAGTGTCGTCCGCAGCTCGCACCGCAGACGTCGTCGTCGTTTGTCGTGTGTTTTATAATTTATTAATACACCGACGGTACGCCTACTCGCCGGGGCATTGTGCTATAATTATCTCGCGATCTGCTGGCAGGTCTGCCCGTTTGACGATAGATAATTCGCCGGGTAAACGCTGACAGTGCACCGCACAGAACACGGCACGATTATTGATAGGTACGCCGTTGGAGATCACGACAACTGTAGTGCTATAGATCGACTGATACATTCGGGTTATAATATTAATACATTATATGTGGTGATATAGGTCGGAACTGGGAACATGGACGCCGAATCGTTTTTGGAGTTTGCCAGCCAAGTGACCAAATGGAAGATGTACCCATACTTCGATGTTGCGCATAGTGTGCTCTGTGCGCTCCACGTCCGTGATGACCTCGGTCCAGGTAACAGTGAAACCTAAGCTTTAAACTGGCAAGTGTCTTTATTTACCTCTTTGTGTGTATGTGTCACTTTCCAAAGGTGCACTGGCGTTTTCACGCAAGCACCCCATTTCCTGTTGGCTGTCCACGATGCTGGTCGTCTTTGCTGGAGGCATGCTGAGTGCAGCTCTTCTTGGCGAACCCCCTTTAGCACCGCTCAAAAACACTCAACAACTTTTGATAGCTACAGCTGTATGGTAATAACAGTCAAATATAATAATAAATAATAATTGTATTATACGGTAGACATAAAACTATTCTCCATCTGTTAAATCATACTGATTTTCCTCAGGTATCTAGTTTTTTACACACCGTTTGATATTGGATACAGTATAGCAAAGTTTCTTCCTGTGAAATTAGTGTTTTCTGTTATGAAAGAAATATATCGGTATGTATTTACCTTAGTATCATTGTATTCTTATAACAAATGTGTAATTTTCAGTTGCAAAAAAGTCCATGATGGTGTATTGCATGCGGCTAAACTTTATCCCAACGCCTACATCATAATGGTTTTAATCGGGACCCTTAAAGGTATTAAAACTTATAAATTTGCTCATTTTATACTTTTGTTAAACAACATTGTACATACCGTTTAATAATTTCAGGAAATGGTGCTTCATTTACAAAAATTATTGAAAGACTTTTAAGAGGAGTATGGACACCCACATCTATTGAGACATTACAACCCAGTTTGTATGTAAAACATATTTGTGCTATCTTTTAAATTATGTTATAATATTATTTTATTATTTTTATTTCTTGCAGTACTACTAAAGCATGCATTATAGCATCTGTGGTGTTTGTACTCGATATTAAAAGTGATTTAATATCAGCTCCACATGCTTTTGTTTATGTTTTTGTCATCGGTTTCTTCATATACTTCAAGGTTTGTTAAATATATTATAAATAATGCCCAAAGTGAATTAAATAAAACATCTGAAAGTGTAAAAATCTAAAATAATCCCTTTCAAAAATAAGACATGTTTCACTTGGTCACAATGCACATACCCTGCTATCAATTTGACATTGTTTAAGTCCTTAAGTATCACCGGCGCAAGTATCGTCCTTTTTGCTATAACTTACATCAATTTAATGACAAAATCGGTGGTGCAGAAAGTGCGCACTGAGTGCACACGAGTGTTGCACTGCAATCAAATCGAATACAAAACACTCCACCAGTTCACAGAATATTGGTCAAATCGAAAACGCTATAAGTAATATAAATTTAAACACCTACGCCACATGCAATATTTGTCCTTGTGAAACAAGTCTTGCTGTGCGCAGTGCGCCTAATTAATAACTTTAGAATTCAGTTATTAGCCCTGTAATTTCTATACAAAATGATACACCAACTATGTAATTCTATAGTAGTATTCATTTTTTATTTGTTTTGTTATTTATTTCATTTATCATATATTTAGTTGGATATTCATTTAGATTTTAGAGAATAGTTCTCAAAATATTAAATTAGTTAAAGTCAAAATATTAAGTAAGTTAAACAAACTATTATTCAATTTGATAATTTAAAGTTAAAGCTTGGAAGTATAAAAGTAAAATATTGTATTGTTAAGTTATTTTCTGACTAATAATAAAAATAGTAATAATTCATAAACTTGCTACCAAGTATCCAGTTTGTTTGGTATTTTATATATCAATATCCACTGAATATTATTATTAATATTATTTTCAATTTCAAACAGAAAACTGCTTATCAATAAAACACTCAAAAATCTTAACTTTTTTATTCAACGGAGTAAAGAAGATTCTAAAAAATTAATAATTAATGGTTTTTTATATAAAATAATAGGTATTTATAGATATAACCAGTTGAGGACCAAATTAAGAATACAGATGCTTTACTCGGAGTTAAAATTAGAAATCAAAATTTAAAGAAAAAAAATATTTATCACCATATTTTTAGCAATAACGTATAAAATATAAATAATATATCATAATTCATAGTTAAGTGTATACAGGGTGATTCATTAAGCGTAAAGCACTCATTATCTCAACAAATATTTATGTTTTTGAAAATATTTTTTTACATAGTTTCAAGTTGTTAAAAAAAACAATGTTTTTATTAAAAATTATATTTTTAAATATTTTTTATCCTTATAATTTTTTAAGTTTTTTACTTTTTTGAATGACAGCATAGAGTTTTAATTTCATATTCCTAAGCAGAATATTTTTCTTAGTATTTTGATTCATAAAAAACGAATTTAGGGCGATTAGTTTATGAGTTATAAGTATTTAAAGTTTAGATGGGCGGAGTGGTATGGGATTACCCCGTAATATGTTTGTCCACTACTCCGCTTGTCTAGACTTGAAATACTCATAAACGACTCGTCCTAAATTTGATTTCTATGTATCAAAATACTTAGAAAAATATTCTGCTTTGGAAAATGAAATTAAAACTCTATGTTGCATTCAAAAATTTAAAAAACTTAAAAAAATTTAAATATTTAAAGTGGTTTTTTTAACAATTGAAACTATGTAAAAAAATATTTTCTAAAACATTAATACTTTTTGAGATAATAAGTATTTTACACTTAATGAATCACCCTGTATATTATTTAATAATGTAATAAATGCATTGATTTATAAGATAACACCTTATAAAATAAATAAAAAATATTTATGGTAAAAATGTATACACACATCAATACTCCCTATACCCTAATTATTATTCCATAATTTTTGAAAATGTCATTGCTCGTCATAAATTTTATAAAATGTATAAAACCCTAACCAACTTAATAGTTTCAAAACTAATTAAGTACATATTTATAGTTATTAGTTGGTGAATCATCTCTATATTTATTGTATATTATACAATTAATTCATATGTATTTTAAATAATATATCTTTTTATTTTCAAGGTATTCTCTTCAATGATTTTGGGAATACATGAGCCAATGTTACCATTTGAAAACTTGATATGCGCAATATTCTTAGGAGGTATATTTGATTATACTACTAAAGCATTCAAAAATACGAAAGACGATAAAGTAGATACAAAAAAGAAAGATTAACCATAAATGGAATTTGGTTAATGTTTAATTTTTTTGGAAATTAACTATGTGATGTATTATTTTATATCTAGTCGATGCATTTTTTTGCACAAAATAAATCATATTGTTCCCCAATTGACTATTAAGTATTAATTATAAAATCAGTTTCTTTTTAAATGTACCTTTTATTTTTGTTGTATTTAATATTTATAATTAAATGTAATATTAATAAATTGTTAAAACTAACAGGACTTTCTATATTATAAAATTACTTTATTATTCTCAGAAAAATATATACATATAAAAACTATTTAATTGAAATAATTTTAATTTAGTTTTGGGTATCTATGCCATCATATAAATACTAAATTGTGGTAATATTTTTAGTAGGGTAAATACAATTCATAATCAGATTATTTGTTGTGATAACCTGGGATGAATTACATGGCAGCTATCTGCCTATCTATTACCTAATATCTTTTGTTTGTTGTGAAATTGAACTTATACTTTAATAATAATTATGGATATGACTAGTGACATGAATAATATTATAAGATTTTTTTTATTTCAAAGTATTGTATAAGTCCAAATATTGAAAACAAAGTACAGTCAATTTTAAAAAATAACTATAGGTTCATCAATAATCATGATCCCAAGAAAACAAATTTGTTTAATTTTTATTCAACAAACATTTGAATTTTTCTGCCTTAACTAGGTTAACTGAAAAATAAATACTCATTATCGACTGTTAAAAATTAAAGGGGATTATACAACATGGTGTATAGTGTTTATTATAAGATATACTGTTAAAGCTTTCAAATGCAAGAACACTATTATTCCTCTTACCATTTAATAATGAGATTTAATTTTTGTTTTCTGGACAAGCAACATCTACTATTAAAAATACCAAAAATAATTTACAAACTTGCAAAGGAGATTATTGAAGTTGTTCATGCTAACGGTTAACAGGCAAATCCATAGAGCTCGGTACCTACTATGGTTGCTTATTACATTTTTATTAAATGTTGATACAGATGTTTGATTAAAAATGTGTTTTTCCTTTTTGTTTGGTTTTTATAGATATTTGTAGAACAAGCATATATAATAGGCTATACTTCTAAACAGGGCCGGATAACCGCAAACTATGTTACACTTGGGACCTGTCGTTTTAGAATATAGTAGTGGCCCCTGATATTATGGATACCAAAGTATCATGAATCATGAAGGGCATAAACATAATAGCTTAGTAGGAACCATGTGCAGATGACCAGATAATGTATTAGACGTTTAATAATACTAGTTAATATTACACAAATTATTTGGAAAGCTAAAGATTTATTTTTAATTATAGAATATATTCTACCTAATTAATAATAAATTTAATTTTGATAAGAATAATTAAATATTTTTTTTAAGAAGCTTCAAAATATTATTTTTCACTTGGGCCCCAGAGTTTAAGATGTGGCACTAGCTCACACGCTTACAAATATTTTTTTACGTACTTTTAATTTTAAATAATCTTCTTAATAAAGTGTTTTATTTGGTATTTTAAAACTAATGTAATAATATTATTCATTTAATCATAATTAGGTGTTATAATTATGACAATAACTGCGATAGAATTTTTTTGAATAAATAGTTATGATTATGAAAAATAAATATAACAACCTCATTCCTAAAGATTTTGAATAGGTACGCAGACATTAAAATGTAATTTTTGTAGATTTGGATATTGTTCATACATTTAATATTTTTTTAATAGTATATGTACTTAGCTAGTTAGCTATATAAGTCTATACCTATATTGTATTGAAAATCTGTAATCTCAGCTGTTATGCTTTTATGTCCCATTACATGTTTTGTAAGTAATTTATTTTATGAAATAGTGACACCCAAAATATATTTTCAACAATGCATTTATGCATATATAAGATACGATCTTAAAAACATAACTACATTTGAAACTCCTTTTTGCAATTCAGTATGAATATTAATCTTGACTTACATCGTTTCCCCAAAAATTCAACATGCCCTTACATTTACAAAAATGTATTCAAAGAAAACTGTTAATTTGCTCTTCTTCGAACTCACATATATACGGATGCCTCCTTCATATAATGGCGTATAGGGATGGCCATCATATGCGAAGAAACCACTATTCTAAGGAAACTCTCAAACTAATGTTCAATATATTCCGCAGAATCTCTGGCAATTCTTAAAGCTATCAAGTACATAATTTCCAAAGTAGATGACAACAATATTACAATATTTATTGACTCCCTCTTTCTTTTAGCAGCCTTTAAAATCAGCATTCCCCTCTGACGTCGTCAGGAAAATTCAGAATACCCATATCACAGCAGGTGCATCCCTGAGGGGGGGGGGGCGTAAGATGTGTTATTTTCTATTTTTGTACAATATTACATCAAACATAGGTTTAAATATTTTGTTTACCAAAGTAGTATTTAAGGGTAACATTTTTTTGCCCCCCTCCCCCCCATGGAATTGACCTGAAGACGCCCCTGCATCACAGCACAACAATATGGCAAAATGGAATATGTAAATGGAGTATAGACAATGCAATGGCAATGGCCACAGATGCCGAGGATAGTCTGTTTAATAAAAAAAACCAATTTTTTTGTTGCTAGCATTAACTTTAGAGCGAATATGTCCGAGGTGGAAAGTCAGAGGCGGAACTAAGAATTTTTACGCCCGGTGAAAATATTAAAATTAAGCCCAATCATGGACCAAGATTGAAAATACAATATCATTCCTTACAATTGTTTTATCATAACTGGAACTAAAATTACAAACATACTGATTAACTTTTAAACACATAATAATATACAGTGTGATTCCTTTTAAAGGTAACACTAAATAATTCTGTCCAGTGACATCGGATTAATATGCGGTTTTCGGGAGGGGATAGGGAATACATAAATACACATTTCTTGATGGTGTTTACATTTTTAGATCTTTCCGTGTGTGCATGCGCAATACAACTTGCATTTTTTTAAATGGCAACAGGTATTTTGAATACCAAATTCGGATAGACCGAATTTTTTTAAGTCGATTTGATCCTTTTTACCATAGCTCTAAAATCAAAATTGACCAAATGGCAACCAGTCAAAGTTTCGATTAAAATTATTGAATTTTTCAACAATCATACTAGAATTTTTTGAATTATTATACAATTTTAAGTATTTTTTTTGTTTACGTAGGTTTGCAGATATTATTAAATCACTTTAATTTAATTTTGAGGATCATAAAAATATGGCCCGAGAAGTCTCCCATCTAGTAGCCCACACCAAACGTTAGTTCCCCAAACTGTTTGGTGATTACTGTATCAGTCGTCCAATATGGATTGTGATCAGCCCAATACCGGTTATTTTGTTCATTAATTATACCGTTGTTGGTAAACTTCGATTCGTCCAACAGATAAATCGTAGAAAATCGGGTTCGTCGTGTAATTGTATCATAAACCATGCAATAAATGTAAGTCTACGATTATAATCACCTGGTACCAACTTTTGTACTAAATCAGGCCTATACGGGTGCAATTTATTTTTTTTCAAAATTTTATGAACTTTTTTATAAGAAATTCCAATTTCGTTGCTTAAATGCCTAATCGAAGATCGAGGATTTAATTGAACATAATATGCTAATACCTGCAATTCGTCCTGTTCGTTTGCCTGTCCAATCAACTGTCTTTGATTACGTCGATTATCACCTTGTCTTGCAGGTAGCTCACCACTATTTCTCAAAGACGATTCATATCGGACAAAGTAATTGTGAGGAGGGTGGTATCGTTCGGGATATCGTTCTGCATAAAGTCTAGCGGCATTTCGTGAATTACGTCTACATTCACCATAAACTAAAAGCATATCAACTTTTTCATTATTACTTGTCATTTTTAAATTTCAATGAAATACTTGCGTTACATACGAGTTTAAAACTTGTAATGACTTTTAATAACCACATTTAAATAAATGCTAAAACTTATCAGTTATAATAAGTTATTATTGTCAGATTTATACGAACATTAAGATAATATCATTCTTAGCACACCATAAATAAATTTGGTTTATTTTAGTAAATGCTACAAATAAAATAATCTTAGAGTTTACAAGTAATTACCCACTTGTATCATGAAAAATAACAATAAATGATAAAATTAATAATTTAAATAGAAACTTTAATAATAGAAGTTATGAGAAATAAATCATATCAGTTTGTTTAATCTTTTCTTAGTTCTAACATGTACGTCTAATTGAGGTTAATTAATTCCTCAAAATTAAATTAAAATGATTTAATAATATCTGCAAACCTACGTAAACAAAAAAAAATACTTAAAATTGTATAATAATTCAAAAAATTCTAGTATGATTGTTGAAAAATTCAATAATTTTAATCGAAACTTTGACTGGTTGCCATTTGGTCAATTTTGATTTTAGAGCTATGGTAAAAAGGATCAAACCGACTTAAAAAAATTCGGTCTATCCGAATTTGGTATTCAAAACACCTGTTGCCATTTAAAAAAATGCAAGTTGTATTGCGCATGCGCACACGGAAAGATCTAAAAATTTAAACATCATCAAGAAATGTGTATTTATGTATTCCCTATCCCCTCCCGAAAACCACATATTAATCCGATGTCACTGGACAGAATTATTTAGTGTTACCTTTAAAAGGAATCACACTGTATAATAATTAATATATTCTGTGGACTGTGGTGTAACCAAGTTTATACTAATAAACTATCACACCAAAAACACTTTAAATTTAAAAACTTAGTCAACATATTGTTGATACATTTTTAATTACTGGAAATACTGTATTTTTTACTTAATTGTATTTATTATTAGAAATAATAATAATATTAGTTATACATATATAAATGTTGAAAAATAATCAAAACTTTAATTACCTACCTATCCTGTATAAAAATTGTAAACACTTTTGCTGTTTTGGTTCTATGCGCCTCAGGCCTCAGCCTTCAATTATAATAGATTTTTATGGTAAAATATAAAATCTTTTATTCTGATTAGGGTACACAATTTAGGCCAGTAAAAAATTGTATTTAATTAAACAATTTATAATAGAAAAAATGAAAAAGTAAATATTTAAAATCAAATCTTTTTTTTTAAACATAAACAAATGTATAACTATCTTGGTAAATATTATAATATATAATATTATAAACTATAATATATTAACATCATTTTTAATATACAGATATAATATGCGTATCGTACGTTGATTGATAATCTTATAACAGTTATTTTACTCAGCCTAGGTATAGTTAATAGTTACATTTTCACTCTTAAATAATCGAATCTTAATAATAAATTATAGTATATTAGTTGTATATGCTTGCAGTAGGTATGCTAATGCCAGTATACCAGTATATACTTAGTATACTAATACGAATCTATTCATAATCTTACTATTAACTTTATTTTTTTTTTTCATTAATTCCAACGTCATCACTACAACATGATAAACAAATAATGTGAAATAAAAATGTTTTCTTAACTTCTATCACCAAGCATTAAATAAAGAACTAAAGAAAAATTACGCCCACTAAAATTTTACGCCCGGGGATCAATCCCCGGCTTCACCCCCCTAGTTCCGCCCCTGTGGAAAGTAAGGACATTATCTAAGTATAATTTAAATTCTAATCGATTTTTAAACGGCAAATGTTTCATAGGTAGGTATTCATAAATCGCTTACAGCTTAAAACGTCGTATAAACTTACGTGGCCGTACGTTCATATGTCTGACGACTGAAACTCAAACAATGTGCTTACCTTAGCTAACAACACAACATTATTGGTTCTACTGAATGCAAATTTAATTCGCTATGTTGTAACTTGCTAGCTTAAAGACGGAGACCACCGTCTTGTAATACAACACTCGGCACATGCAGGTGAGACTTCCATTTAGAATACGTTACGGTTTTATGCAAAATATAATATTGTACTGTAATAGTTATGACTTATGAGGTATTAAAATATTGTGTAAAAGTACCACTGTACCACCAGCCACCATGGTGAAAAAGGAGTGATTAGCAAGATTGAAGAAAGTGTTGTTTCTTTCACTGTAACAACTTGCCGCAGATGTCTTTGCAGTTTATGATTCTCCAGTGAAAATTAATAATTATAAACTTTTGTACCTTAATAGTTTAATAATGTGATTTTTATAAAAAAATATACGTAACGCATAGTAGGTATGGTAATAACAATTTTGATTCAATTTATAATTTGTAACATTGATAAAGTAGCTACACATAGAAATTCAAAATTTAAATTTAGTTATAGAGGAATTATTAAGGCCTTAAGGGTGTGAAACATTCACCACTGTGAACTTGGAAGTGCAACATTATAACAGACATCAATCAAACAAATTTGTTGGTAGATTGTTGGACAAAGTGATGGAGCCATCAAAGAAATCGAATTTCCTCTTCATGATGATGTGAGAAAAGTGAGGTAAGTAATATTTAACTCGCGTTAGGTAGGGTAGTTGTAATCATGATGAATGTGATATATTTGAGAACATAGGCTGAGTGCGAAAGGAATCGAATTTGTACTAGATTTTACTGTAAGTTATTTAAATATTATATAGATTATAATTTATAGGTAGGTATTATCAATAGTGAATAATGTGGCGTACTCGCGTACCGAAGAATAAGGTTAGAGACATAACCGTTCAAAATCTATAAAATGGAATATTCTGTATTTCCGTGTTACTAGCTTCTCATATCTTACATTTTTATATCTTATAAGTATACCTACTCTACTATCGAAAGAATGTTCGATTGTTGTGCAAATTATACTTCATAGTTTTTACTACCTGGTGGTGCAAATTACAAACGCATTTCTAAAACGTTGGTGCAAATTACAGGTCATGTTATATAGATATATAATCAGGGTCAATTATGGTGCAAATTGACTACAGTATTGTGGTGGTCGGTGGTGGTATAAATAGCCAAATAGGCAATGGCATAAAGACATAAATTTAATCTAAATGTTTTGAAAAAAAAATTATGTACCTACATAAAGTATAATAATAATATACTTAAAAGTCTTAAATTTTCATGAATAATATTTTTAAATTACAACAAAATAACTAAAATCGTTATTTTGCTTTTAAATGTATAATTTTGTGAATATTTTGAAATAAAATGTTTAAAAAAAAGTTGCTTTAAATAGGATTTAGATTATTTAGTTTCAGTATAAACTTTGTCGCGGAAGCAATGCGAAAGCAATTCCCGCGGCGCCGTCGGTTCAAACAGAAAAAAAAAAGTTTCAGTATAAACTACTTATGAGTTATGAGTTATGACTTAATAAGGAACCTTGTATTATTTAATTTTCAAACTTTTTGACTGAGCGAAAAATGATTCATCTATTTATGTTTATAGAAAAAATCAAAAATGTCAAAAGTCTATAATATACATATATATAACTCAAAAAGATTAAAAATATTTTACGACCTATAGAAAATGCTAATATAAACATTCAGGGAAATTTTTAAGTATCCAGGGTTATTTGTTTTTAAATTACAATAAAATAAGAAAATCGATTTTCTTTTCAAAGCGAAAACGGTTTGATCGAGAATCGGAGAGCACGGAGGACGTGGAGAAAACTGTCGGTAGTCACAGATTTCCTTTAAGCTTGACCGATAAAAAATATCATAGTTACGGTGGTTTATAAGCTATTAAGTATGATGAAAAAAAAATCATTAACAAAAGTGTTGGTTAAATAATAATAATGTACCAACATACACTATAATAGATTAATTTTGACTATATATATCCACAGCTATGAAATCAATTTCTTAACATCCAACAATGATACGTATATCAAGTTCGTTGATTTAGTACATTTTAGTTGTAGCACAGATTTATTTGTATAATAATGTCATCGCTATTTTCCCGCATGCATAGCCTGTAGGCTGTATATAGTATTAGTACCAGCTGTGTGTGTATTTTATTTTGATAACCTGGTCCAGAGTAGGTATTTTTTTATTAAATTTAATCAAGTAAAATAATATAGACTTGTGCACGATGATAAATAAAATATAATTTTCAAGAAACCGTTAGTTAATTTCAATTTATTGCTTTATAATATTTAATTTAACATAGCTATAGCACGTTGTCTAATAGTACAATATCTTTAATTTCAAGGTTGAAAATAGTATACCTTAAGGAAATTTAACTAAATAACTCTATATAATTTTCTCCTGCATCATTATATTTATGTTTAGCTCTAGGTATATGTTATTAATTTATAAAGTCAATGTTTATTATTTTTTACCGACAAGCTGACAGTATTTAAAGTAAACCTATTTATTTATTATAAAACCGTAATGATTATAGATCTGAACCAGAAGTATTGTCTTGCTGTTTTTCTTTGCCATATAAGGTACGAACATAACGCGTTATGACGTCGTTTATACTTTTTACCTAATAATGTTAATTATCATGGTTGAATAGTTTACTAACGATTGTCAGAGCGTGTCATAAAATTGATTGCCTCTATCATGGGCCATGGACGATAATGTTCACATAATCACTTCAGTTATAGTTGTACCTAGTTATACAATATCCTTATTTATTTTATTTGAATGTAAAAGTATTGTTCAATTGTTTTAAAGATCACTAAAATAATTATGTAAACTGAAAAAAATATGAATTTTAAAACAAATAATCGTTATTATTTTTTTTATATATATAAAAATCAAGCTTCTATTATTCATTTTGGTCTCAAATTAGTCGTTGAAATCAACCATCTTAATTTTATGTATAATATAATATAATATACTTTATTATTATGATCTTGAAATTTACGCAATGAAATTTCCACTTCGACAACAGGAGCCATTAGAGTTACATTTTTGAGACAGAGACAAAAGAAATAAAAGAAAAAAAAGATAGTTTATATATAAATCAGTAATGAGTAAAATAAAAAATTTTAGATTTTACAATATTTTGGTTATAATTTACAATAGGTTTAATAATTTTATTGTTTTGAAAAATTCTATTGTGTTGGCTTCATTTTCGTGGTTTGGGCCTAGACTTGTTCCGATGTCGTGGCCTATGTTAAGTTCTTCTCTTTGTATTTGGTATATTCTGCATTCTTCAAAAATGTGTTTAATTGTGAGTGAGGTGCCACATGTTAGGCATATTGGTGGTTCGTTTTTAGCCATTAAATATCCGTGAGTCAATTTTGAGTGTTCAATTCAAGCTCGATTTAGTTTTTTTTCGTTTGTAGTACTAATGTTTGGGTTTCTTTTCCATCTTATTAATGTTTTTTTAATTTGGTTCAATTTGTTTGTTTGGCTGATCCATATGTTCTGCCAAAGGGAAATTGTATTTTGTTTAATCTGTTTTCTTACGTCAGTGTACTGAGAGATGTTTATATATTGTGCATCATTTTAGCGGATACCAAGTTTGGCTTGTTTATCAGCCCTTTCATTGCCATCTATTTCTATGTGTCCACGTATCCATATAAGAATTATAATGTTGTTTCTTTATGGAAATCTTTTAGATGTTCAATGGTCCTTTTAAAAGATTTTTGTATATGTTTTCTGGTGTGTTTTCCTTGGGCATAGAGTTTAGGTCTGTGTTTATGTTGTATGAGCTTGTCCATGGTGAGCTAATTGTTTTTTCTTTTTTAATTATTTGTGGTATTTTGGGATAATCTTGATTATTATGGAGCTCTAGTGTTATTTTGTTTTCTGATGCTGGGTTGTTTGTTAATCTGGATAATCTCGCTGTGTATAAGAGTGACAATTCAGTTTTTTTAGGTCGGGAGTTGGTTCTCCCGATATGTTGTAAATGCTTTTGATTGGACTGCTTTTAAAGGCCCCTATATAGCCATTCGCATTCCTGTATTGTGATTTGAGTCTATGTATTTTGTTAATGAATTGTTTGCTGTGCTACAAACAATTGAGCCATATTGTAGTTTTGCTTAAATTGTTGATTTGAATATTTTACTTAGTGTTTCATATTCACTACCCCAAGATGTGTGTGATAGTAGTTTTAATATTACATAGTGACTATTGAAATCACCTACTATTATGAATGGTCTCAGAAGTTGTTTTATGATATTATTTATATCTGTGAATGACTTCTGGTTAGGCAAATATATATTGCATATATTTATATCAATATTGGAAAACTTGATTGTTGCAACTATCGCTTCAATATTTTTATCAATAGTTAATTGACTGCTCGGGTAATTTGTTTTGACATAAATAGCCACTCTTCCACTAGCCTTTGCACTGTCTAACCCGTTTTTATTATAACCATCGTAATTGGCAAGGTTTGTTATATTGTTGCTTTTGAAATTTGTTTCTCGGATACATATGATGTCTGGGTTGTGATCATGTATTAGTAAAGTGATTTCTTCGTATTTTTGTTGAACCAGTTCATGTTCCACTGTAGTATAGTTATATTATTGTTATTGTTATTTGGTTTCATTTGTTTTTTTTAATTTTTTTTTTTGTTTTTTGATGTATTGTGTATTTAAAGTTAAGTGAGATTATTCTTGACAGAGGGAGTTATGGTACCTGTTTTGGGGGTAATTCTATTCTTGGACCTGCTCGGTGGAGAGAGCCCTGTCAAGGAGAGAATAACACAGTCTCGTTAATCTGTTTTTATATTCTGGGTTTTGATTTTAGGCTTAATGATCTCTATCATTTCGATCATTGTAATGTTGAAATTTTTCAGTGCTGTCTTTGGATTTGATATGCCGATCGAGTTTTCAATTATGTATTTGAACTGATTGTAATTTATTTTTTTATTGGGTATTTCTTCAAATTTGGTTTTAATGGGTTCGAGTATTTCATCGAGTTGTAGGATTATATTTTCTACGAATTTATTTCGTTTTATTTTTTTTTCGGGTTGTGATGATTTGGTAGTATTTAGTTTGGAAGGAGTATTTTCGTTTGAGGTAGTGTCTTGAGAAGTAGGTTTAGGGGAGAGCTGGTCGGCAGTTTTACTTGAAGAAGTTGAGGTGAGAGCTGGTCTTTTTTTCATATCAGCTAGTCTTAATGGGAGACATTACTATGTTACCTTCCTTTGTTATTTCCGTTGATAATAGGGCATCGAGGAGGGATGGTTGAGTTGATGTTTGTGGAGTGGTGTTTTCGTTGGTGTCGACCTTTGGGTCTCCGAGTGTATCACATGTGAGGTTATTGATTTCGACTATATATTCAGAGACGTTATAGTCACTTGAAGATTTGTTGTAAACTGGAGCTTCATATATCTTGGTGCTTGGGGCTTCTGATGGTAGGTTTTTACATTGTTTTGATGTTTGACTTTTTAGTTTACATAAGTAGCAGGAGAGTGTGTCATCGGATAGAAAGATTCTGTTAGGGGTATTATCATGGTTAATCAGGAGGGAGCTAGGAAGTTTTTTAAAGTCATCAGGATTTATGTAGACTTGGCGTCTGAAACTGAGGATATGAGCGAGTTCTATAATGTTGAATCCCACTTTGATATGAGTTATCGGTGATACCATTTGAATGTTAAGGTATTTTAGTTGTGATATGATGTCATCGTTTGGTATTGCTGGAGAGACATTTGAGATGATAATATTCTTTTAGTCGGGTTTATTAGTCGTCTAATTTTGATTGATATCTGGGCGTTTAATGTAATACTGGGATGATTATTTATAAGAAAATCAACTGTATTTTTATCATTGTAATATATGCAGAATCGGTTATTTGATATACAAGAATCGAATTTGATTATGTTTTGGCGGTATTAATTTGCTGAATGCAATGATATATTCAATCTGAGGTTTATTGTCAATGGAATCAAAAACAATTGCTTGTTCTTTTTTTGGTAAGGTAGCATTTAGAGTGGTTTCAGCGAAAGATTTTTTACTTGAGGCTTGTTTTTCGGATTCAATATTGATGTTTTGATATAATGAATGTTTGTCACTGGACACACTCTGTATACTGTTGGCTATGTCGGTGAAATCATGATTGTAGATATTTGTGTCGATGTTTTTAATTGGGTCATTGGTGGCTTCTTTGTCGGAGTGTTGTGCAGGTTTTGATGGCTCATTTGTGTTGTTATCTATTATGTTGGCAGTGTGTGCGGTGTTGGTCATTGTGGCATTGGGTTTTGAATTTTGAGTTGTTTTGGATGATTGAATTAATTTGTCTTTCAGACTTTTGTGATTTGTGGGTGTATCACCCATTTTTGGGGTAGGAGTATTAATAAGTGGCTGGTATGACTGTAAAAAATCTACAGAATGGTATATATTCATATTACCTGGATTTACACTTAGTTTGACTGTTTGCTTCGAAAGCTATAAATACGAGAGCGCGATACGAACAAACGTGATGTTCGGTCGAAATTGAACACGTAATTGTAGTTATAATTTATCTTAACTAATTTGTTTTAATTTGTAATACAATACAATGTTAAAACAATTAATCGTATTGTTATATATATTTTTTACTATAACTGGCAACGTCGCAGCAGCTTTTATACATTCTATATACATGACATTCGAAGTAAAAAAAAATAAATATATTTTATGACCAAAATTTGCGGAATTGTGTAGATAAAAAAGGTATAGGTAGGTACAGTGCAAAATCGTGTGTCATCCGAAATGTTTAAATAATACGTATTATTTTCTAGTAATGAGAGGCGTGATATTAAAACACTGAACATTTTTTTAAAGAAGTTTTGTCTTTCGTGTAAAACTGCCGTTATTATGTTAGCATATATTACTATATGCAAACGAAATTATGAAAAAATTAATTTTTAGTTTGTGAATAATAATAGTATAGCGTACTCAACAGTTAACAGTAATGAACGAAATGGCTTGACTAAATTAAACTTTAAATGCTAGTATAATACTATCAATATAACAATTATGGCAGTGGATCTCTTATATATTATACCTATACAGCCATGTAATATCACCTGATAATTTTCCGAAATCATCAGTTTATAAGGTTTAAAAAAATATCGAAGAAACACCGAGGTAAGACATTCTTGTTAGTTGTTATACCTCTATAATCTATGCAATATTTTATTTACCATAAATCCAAATGGGTTTGGTGATACGGTATTTACAACATATGACTATAAGTAGGAATCGTTTATCTGCCAGGTCCAATTTGTAGTGTCTCTCAATGGGCCAGTGCAACTTAAGTACCATTTTTTTCTTCGATTGTTGTAATATTTTTCAGCGGACATGGTGTTTCCAATTCCGATGGGAATCAAGGTGATGCTTAATACCTATACCTATCTAACCAAGTATTTAGCAGAATATTTTGCGATCTAGCAAAACAATAGGATGCTCATGGTTTTACGTAATATATAATATATTATGTTTAAGTCTTACATTATAAATATAATAAATTTACATTTTTAAGATCACCGACCTATCACTGTAATTATCTTGATTTTCCAACGTTTCATCTATTTGGATACCTATGTTGCGTTTTAAGGACGGTATAAGTTATCATTCAGTTCTTATATCAACCCACTGATCCTGAGTATTCCTGACTTGTCAACATCGCCATAATATCTTCGGCCAACATAGCGGACAGCGGTCAGCGGTCATTGAGCCATTTCCTAATATCAGCTGTGTAGAGACATAGAGTAAATGAAGAATAGGCCCAATAACTTTGTGGAGAAGGTACTCCGACTGATTTATTTTTCCATTGCTTCTTTTAATGCATGTTACTTGTAAGAGGTGTCTTTTAAGTTTCTTCTATAACTGGCCTTAAACGACTGAAAAAATCTTTTCGAAGAGTGTTGACATGCTTAGAATATTATGCAACGTTGGTCTATGTGAGATAGGTACCTCGTTCTGGTGGCTTATCTGGTTTTAATATCTTGACTTTAAACTATTTAATAAATAAACTTGAAATTTTAAATTTAACAACTATGACTAACTCATACAGTACCTACCCAGTAATTTTCCAAAATATAAAAAAATATTGAAGGGAAGCACAACAATGCATTCTGTATAGGTCATAGATATTAAAGAATGGATAGGCCATTTATGCTTAACATACGGGAATGAACATGAAAATATTTTGAGGTTATAGAGGTCTTAACACAAATGTATATATATATAATTATTGTACATAATTTATGATAAGACCCTCTGCTAAAATGAGAAGCAATGATAAAAAACAGTCTTTCTCTCTTCCCCATTCCGGTGACAATTCCCTCTATTTTATTAATATAGCCATGGCCTATCCATTCTTTAATATCTATGGTATAGGTACATGTATATAATTTTTTTTTTATCAATACCTAATAATAAAATAACTGTAGCACATAGATGGTTCCCCATAATCTGTACTATATAAATCATAATTTAATAATTTATTCTGTATTCTTATCATTGATTTTTATATGTAAAGAAAAGAAAAACCCACCTGGACTGAAACCCCTGGTAGTCGGTAGAAAATGTTAACATAATACATAATAGTAGGTACCTACGCCATATATTTATCAACTTAGAAAAACGGCTTGAACGTTTAAAGGGTTGGATTAAGCATGTGTCTACCTATTGAATATTACTTGTATATTTTAATAAAGCAAATGATTGTAAATAATTTATTTTATGATAGTAAGTATTACTTAATATATTATGTCCAAAGTTTTTAAAAATACGACAAACCAAATAAACCAGTTCTTGTAAAAAAAAAATTTTCATTTGATAATATTATTATTCATTTAGTGAGGTGAAATGGTTTTTTTATTTGTGCTTGATATGTTAATACTTAATTGTCTTAAATGTCTTGTAACCAGTATAATGCATTAAATATTTTTTATTAATTATTCAAGTTAATTATCTAAATCAATTATTGTTATTCATTCACTGACCATTGTTCAATGAATTTAAAAATTGTTTAAAATTACATAAGAATCCGTTTCTTATTGTAAGTAGTATGTGAACTATTTATTTAGAAGCTATTAATATTTTAACTTTGTTTTGTTCTTTGTGATAACGGTTTCTGTTATGTAGCCACGAACAATGACTATTAAATATCAAAAGAAAAACGTTTGTAGTTCCTTTTATGTACAATTATAAACATACATTATGATTTATATTATTATAATTTATCTATATATAGTCTTGTGTACCTTCCTATTACACATCTTACAAAATTTTTTTTATTCTCTTTATTTTTGACCTCCAAATTACGGCTTTGCAGAGGTATGATATACCTAACTGGCAGATATACAAACAAAAAAATGTAACACTATAATATAGTCGTATCAAACAGAATGAAACTGAGAAAACGGTTTCGAAGTATAGGTATGTCGTATGTATTCAACTATGCAAGTCTGGCTGTGTTTTCAAGATTATTATATGTATATTGTATATAGGTACGAGGTACCTAACTATCGTTTTTATTCAAGTGAGTGAAATCACGATCCATGGCAAGACATACTTAGGTCATCATATATACATATACAGCTATACTTGCTCATAATATTTAAATATTATGTCTGATTCACGGAAAAAAAATTACTATAATATTATAGTTTAACAAATTAAAGTAAATATAACTATTTAATAGGTAAAATAACTAACATTATTTACTTATTATAACTATATAAATATAGTTATTTGTTATGGTAATGTTTATTTTATAGTTAACGCAGTTTTTAATGTTTCAATTAACTAAAAAATATAGTTAAAATAGCATATTTCAGTTCGAATAACTATAATAACTTGACTAGGTATGATATTTTAGTAAATCTGACTAACCTTATAGCTATCCATATAGCAATTATAATGTACAGTTGTTAATCCTACTATTTTTATAGTACAAACAACTGTTTTGTTTTTTCCGTGATAGGATTGAATAATACATAAATATAATTTATTATACTCTGTAAAGGCTGATTATTTTAATTTGACTCTAAAGTCGAATAGACCAAAGTTAATCATTGAAACAATTGAGATAAATTTTCCATTTTGGTTATAATATTATAAAGTTCTAAATTATTTTACCATTGCGAGCTCTCGTCTTTTGAATATCAAGTATCGAGTGATAACTCAGAATATAATTATCACTTGTATATATTATATTGGTTGTGGTATAGATTATAGAATATAAAAATATGGTTAATGCTCATTGGTCAGTAGGGTATCCTGCAGAACTTAAAACAATTTTTTTATAATATATAACTAGTATACAACTAAAGTGATCGGACAGAGTCGCTCGCTTTCTATACTCATTTGTACTGTTTAATTTGAAAACATGATATTATTTAGATTTTAGACTCGTTAAATAATTGACAGATGTGATGAAAAACCACAACAGATAAATGACGGGACAGTAAAAAAGTGTCTCATTACTAGTTTGATTTTGAACAATCCTAAATGTTATCCTTCCGCATTTATATTTTATCGGGATATTTTTTTAACGAGCTGAGGTTTTTAATATTAAACTTTCCATTTTTAAATAATGATCAAGGATAATGGTAAAAATTTAAAATTTATCTTCGCCTACCACCTCGTCACACTATTATCCTAAGTAAATTATACTAATATATATCGCTCACAATAGTTGATAATGGGTAGGTACCTATATAATAAAAAATATACTTAATCTGTATAGTAAGTACCACGTATAATAGTCCATCATATTATATACTCGCATTACGGGTACAGCAATTATCACTACCCCCTTGGCCCCTTCCCCTTTTAGGCAATATAAGCCTCTATAAAAGTGTATCGCACACATATAAGTACTATATTATAATAATACACATAAAGCTTATATATTATATATGGGTGCAGGTCCTGTACAGCTGACTGATATTACTATATAGACATTAGATGTCTGATGTATTATAGTTGCAGCAATTCAACGAAAACGACCCTCACGCTACATACACACTAATTTATTTTTATCGTCGGGTGGTGTAGGGCTGTTTTGCTATTGTGTCTTTCGGTTTTCTTTCTTTCGTTTTATATTTTTTTCCCCCAAACTCGTTTTTCACTCTCAGAGGCGTATTTGCAGGATAAATAAGGATCCTTTATAACATATTATACTATTATATATACAGCCGCATACAGGTATACACAGGCACATACATAATAATAATATTATACCTTCTTAAATCGTTGTATAGGTATGAGATTTTGTTTTTTTTCCTCGTGGATTTCGTCCCGACCCGTCGCCCGAACTCCCGTGGGCTGTGCCCATCTTAACCTGAATATATCTTAACCTGTTGAACGTCGACAGTGGCGGAGGTGGTGGCGGTGGCGACGGCGCGGCG